CACACACACACACACACACACACACACACACACACACACACACACTGTCACACACACTTGTGGACATGCTGATCTCGTTCGGAATCAACGTCGCAGCCCTCATCCTCATATGGATATTCGCTGCAGTCAGCTGATTCCGGGTCATCCTCCACGACCGCCTTGCGCTTGAGGCGCTGTTTCTTTTTTTTAACCGGTGTAGTGGCCGTGTCGGTCTTTTGCTTCCGCGGTCTGCCACGAGGACGTTTTGGCTGCGCAGGAGCGTCCTGTGATGGCTCCTTTCTCTTCCTGCCCACTCGACTCACCCACAGGTTGTCATGCTGGACATCCTCCCTCATTGTGGGGAATTCCGGTATCTTCTCCTCGGACTCAGGAAACTCCGCTGGCCGGGGGCTGCATGTGTACACTGCTGTCGCTGTGGGATGGGGCTCGTCTTCACGGGCTGTATCGACCTCGCCGTGCTGCATCTTCTGCTGCGCCAATCCTTCCCCCTCCTCTTCCTGCTGCATTTCCTCTTCCTCCCCGCCTTGCACCGTGCCTTCCTCTTCTTCTTGGTGCTCCATCTCCTCTCCCTCTTGTGGTTGCACCATGCCCTCCGCCTCTTCTTCCTGGTCCATGTAATCTCCCACCTCAGCCTGGTTCTCCTCCTCCTCCTCTTCTCCTTCTTCCTCAACCTCCAATGCCTGATTGATCTGCTGTTGGTGCTCCGTGGCTTGTTTGAGACCTCTCTCGATCTCTCTCCGGGTCGGGATAGCTGCACGGCGGGCCTCCTCCTCCATCATACGTTTGTTGACGAGTTCGGTCTCCCGGTCAGCCATAGCCTTGGCACGGTTCGCATCCTCCTCATCTTCGTCCACCCTCGTTTCCAGCAACGTCTCGACATCCGTGTCTAGCCGTGCGAACTCGACATCAGATTGCGGATTGTACAGTGCAGTTTCCATTACCCCGGGCTCCGTCGCTGCCGGGCGTGGCTCTTCTCTGCGTTGTCGTTCGGTCCGCCTCCTTCCGACGTACGTCGTGCCGGTGACGGACGGCTCCAGTCGTAGCTCGAAATCGGAGTTATCGTCGTCATCCTCTTCGCTGCCACTCGAGTCCTCCGACAATCCGCACTTCCCCTTCCACAGCTCGTCATCCAAATCACTGTCATTCGTGAGCTCTTCGTCCTTGTCCTCGAGATTTTTTGAAACCCTTCCCTTCGGAGTCTTTGTGAGCCTTCGTTCCCGCACAAGCTCCTCCTCAGTCTTCTCAGCCTCAACCTCGGGCCCCTTCGACACCGATCCATCGTTCTCTTCAGGCTCCGGGGCGGGCTCGACGAAGTCACACCACAAGTCCACAAATCCGTTGTTGTTAGTCTCCGGAACACGCAGTAGCTGCATGTTCCAGTGTAYGTACACTARCTTCGCCAAGCTTTCTGGTGACAACTTGTTCCTYCGTTTGGAATGGATGAAGTCCATGGAAGCCCAATTCCTCTCAGCCGGTGACGCGGTGCTCCACATGCCCATGACCTTGATCGCAACCTTCTGCAATTCGGGCACGTCGCCACCGTGTGCTGCCCACCATTCTGACAGTGTCTTCTTGTCAACATCCGCCTTCGCTGTGGGGTCCCACATCTTCGTGTCATTCCTTTTCGGGCCGTTCCTTGTAGGTTTGGTGTGGAACTCATTCAGGTCACTCCAAATGTCAAGGTGCGCTTGCCCTTTCCATTCACCTCCAACCTGCCTCGAGAGAAGCGCATGGTGTTCTGCACAAGCGCACTGTCTTGGTCATGCAACCACCTCGGTTCTCTCCTGCGCGGGTCCAAAAGAAAGGCTGCTGCGTGGGCGGGCTGCCACATCATCTTCATGCGATCTTTGACTTTCTCCATCACGCTCGCCCGCTGCTCCACTGTAAGAACGACATGGCTAAGCTTCCTTTCTATCATATCATCATACTCGACAAGGTTTGTGGGACCGGTACCGTCCTGATCCATCCGCCTCAAGAGGCCGAACACGGGCTCTATCACATCAACCACCTTGTCCAACCCCGCCCACCACTCCTCACTCCTCAACGTGAAGAACACCAGATCCGATCTGGCCCCCAACTTCGACGTGGACCATCGGATCACATTCCACTTTACCGCATTCCGACGGTTGACCATGTCCTTCAACACCGCCTTCCTATCGTGTATCCTCTCCAACATTTGGTAGACTGACCCGAAGCGCACCTCCGTGGGCCGAAGAAGAGAGCGCGAATCGTCCACTGTCATCATCAGACTGTTTGTGCTGTGGTGATTTCTGATGAACTTGACGATTGTGTGGCCCCTCTTAACGGTGTGCTTCACCCAATCGAGTTTGCTGAGGTCGCGCAAGAGAAGGCTGCAGCAATGCGCAGCGCAAGGAAGCCACGAAATCCTTGCTACCTCCTTGTCCGTTCGTCGCTCCAGGATCTGAGCCGCCCATTTGTTAACCTCCACGTTGTCAGTGCAGATCGCATTGATTCGACGCGGTCCGATTTCCCTCATGATCTGCTCCGAAAGTTTCGCCAATGCAGTTCCGGTCTTCTTCCTCCCGAACATTGACATCGTCGCCACCAAAACCGCCCCATCCACCCCAGCTGCCAAGAAGTTCATCACGGGCCGCTCCCGACGATCACTCGATCCGTCTGTGATGAAAGTACACCCGCTGACATCCCAACAAGTCGTCAACGGCTCCACCGTCTTCTGCACTCGCATGTACACAATGTCCAACATGACGGTCCTCATGTGGTTGAAGGAGGGCAGTTTCACCTGCGGTCTTGACTTTGCCACCTACAGGTACACTTCGTGGAGTTTCTGGGTGGTATCGAAGTTCAGGAAGTTGAATGGGATCCCAGCACGAAACATGGCCTCCGCCCATGCAATGTCCAGTTTCTTCTGCGCATCGTTGTCCACCCACCTCCTTATTGTTGACTGATGTAGTGAGGAAAGCCGTGTGTTCGACCCCGATGCCTCACCCCCCGCCGCCTCCAAAGCGTTCTCCTTGTGTAAATCCCCTGCATCACATGGTGGAGCAGCCCTGCCCGCAGTGGGCGGTGGCTGTGGCTCAAGGTATGCGGGAACTTCAACCACCTCGTCGGCCTTCTCCGTTTGATCGACCCCCCCTTCCGGAATCCCGTGCAACTGCCTGTAATTCTTCAACAAGTACCACGTATTCTTATCACCCGGCAGCACTTTCCCCTCGGACTTGACGAGCTCATTCACCATTTCCCCTGTGCGCGATGGACACGGCTTCTGCGTTTTCAGGTAATGTTCCACCGCTCTTGAGCTCGTGCCCCTCCAAATCTGCATGCACAACCGACACCTCACCCAATACTCGCCTCTCCCTTTCTCCCCGGCTTCCTGACCCTGTTCTGCGTACTTCCACACAGGCTTCTCCCTCTGCAACCTGTCATGCCTCGCCTTCTCTTGTGGAACAAACAGTGAAAGGTCCATTGCCGGCGTGGGGTCTTTGGAGGTCACTGTGGATGAGGGTGTAGCGGAGGTGCTTGCAACATTTCTTTTCCTTTTCCTTTTTCTGCTGCCGTTTTGCCCCTCCTCCGTCCAGAACCGCCACTCCCCCGTCCAATGTCGCTGGCACCGCCCGCCATAGTGTCGTGGAAGTAGAGGATGCAAGGACAACCAGCGAGGGAAAAACCAAGTTCAAATATCGGAAGAAGAAGAAGAAGAAGAAGAAGAAGAAGAAGAAGAAGAAGAAGTAGTAGTAGTAGAAGAAGAAGAAGAAGAAGAAGAAGAAGAAGAAGAAGAAGACTTAGAAGGAGAAGAAGAAGAAGTAGTAGTAGTAGAAGAAGAAGAAGAAGAAGAAGAAGAAGAAGAAGAAGAAGACTTAGAAGGAGAAGAAGTAGTAGTAGTAGTAGTAGTAGAAGAAGAAGAAGAAGAAGAAGAAGAAGAAGAAGAAGAAGAAAAAGAAAAAGAA